AAACTGGAACCATTGACTTCCATGGTAATTTTTTTTCCTACTATGGAAGTCAATGGTTCCAGTTTACTGTTTGGTTGATGACATTCTTCAAAATATCTGAGAACTGTCCCATCTTCCTGTACTGTTATCCAGTGGTATGTTGGTGTTAAACTGAGGCTTTGTGAATGCTTCACCTGAAAATGTAAATAAAAGTAAAATTAGCAAATTACAGATTAGCTTGATAAAACATTTTTTACAATTGGAACACGTATAACGTCATTCTAGACAGCTATCTATATTTACATCAGTAACCTTAGTTAAACATATGGCTGAATGTGCTGTGCTCAATGTTTCTGCCTTAAATTAATAGACAGTGATTTGTCTACATTTCTGAAATTCATAACTTTGACACTCTAAAATGTAATGTACATATGCATTTTCAGTAAAGATGTTTTAAAATATTGTGAGTGCTAAAAATAAATGAGCTTATCGGACATGGCGGGGGGCGGGTTTTTGCGAACGGTCAATTTATTTCAACAATACTTTTATGTCCAGCAAGTAAAAGAGTGCCACTTACCCTTCCTGTTATCAAGAACATTTTCTTCATCTCCAGATGATAGATTCCGGGATCATTAACCCAACCTGAGGTGAAGTAGCGGTAGGCTTCAGTGCTTTTAAATGCCTTCCGGTGAATGGATAGGGATTGTGGACGAGGTAGTAAATGTCAGCGAACGTCAAATTTTTACAAGTCAGCAGTTCGTTTGAAAGTAAACACGGATCTAAACCTTATCAATTTTATTTAAATACCCTTTCATCTGTAATGAGGTGTGCTGTGCTATTTTAGTGTGCGACATCTTTCCGATCAGGAGAAGCTACGCAAAGGTCCTAAAGATGGCGGCCGCAACAAAAAAGTCACGTGACTGAAACCCATGAATTGCTTAGTTTCAGAAGGAATTTTGTAACCCACTGGATTCGTATGAATTACTTTTATGATGGAAGGATGCACTTTTTGGAGCTTCAAAAACTATACTGTGCCATTATAAAGCTGTAAAGATCAAGGATATTATTTAATATAACTCTGATTGTGTTTGGCTGAAAGAAGAAAGCCATATACTTAGAATGGCCTATAAGGGTGAGAAAATTATGGGGCAATTTTCATTTTTTGGGTGAAATTCTTTTAAATGAACACGCCACTGGTTTTTTGAAATGGGGGTTATTTAACGTCTCTCCTACATTTAGATAGGTCAATAGGTGGGCAAATGCTTTTTTCTGAGTATTCAGAGAAATTTCAACAAATGTTAATTATTTATACGGAATTATTTACTGAATTTTGAACTGTCAATGGTAATATCATGCATATTAATTATGGTGATAATTACAGACTCTCATCTTGCAAAATACCGCCACATGTCTAATATTATAATAGTACATTTACTGTATATAGGCCTACTATGTATAGCACAAATTTATTTGACAGTCAAATTGAAATAAAAAGTGGTTTCTAGTGTTGTATTAAATTCTGTGTGCATTTGTTTTTGTAAACTGTATTCAACACCAGTTAAATGACGTGCTTCATGATTGTGTGCATTACTGAAATCAAAAGGAAATATACTAATGTTTAGCCATTGCATTAATTAAGTAATGTCGGGTGTTTACTGCCATGGCTGTGACCTTTCCCTTATTATGTGCGGTTTCACTGGCAACAGCAGCCTTTAATCAGAACAAGGCATGTGGGAGATTAAACTCCCTGAGAACTCCACAGCGACACGATCACTGGGTGCTCTGCTCCACCATATAGGTAATGTGAATTAGGCTTCTATTTAGATGCCAAATTACAGGAAACAAACTTTAGCTTTTAATACTTACTTGAAGATAAGTATAATGATTAGTGAATCACATCTTTAACGTTCTAATATTGCTACATGGGCCTCATAAATAGTAAACCTACAAATAGACTCCACCCTGAGTTTGGAAGGTCAAAGGTTCAACAACTAGCTGGAAAATTTGAGTACTTTAAACAAATTAAAGATACAGTACCTTAACACCAGGCTGTATTTACACTGGCTCAAAAAACATTCATTCTGAACCACAGCCAAATGTGATTTTAAATATACAGATCCGATATCAGGACATCTGACCTACGTCTAAACACATACCCGATTCCCCTTGGAATTTCAAGAGGCCACAAAGCTTTTAGTAATACGATAAAGCAGACCTACCTGTAGCCCATGCACTCGCACTAAAACTCTCACGGTGTGGTGTAGGAAGATGAAGATGATGATGAGTCAGAAGTCCCCAATACAAACTTTTACTAAATATAATAAGATTCCTTCCAACAGGTACAGACAGGCAGGATGAATACACACACAATTAAAAACCAACTAAGACTGGCTGAACTGAAAGGAACTAAATAGCACAGGTGCATATGATGATGAGTGCTGGCAGGTGCGTTTAATGATGAAGGAGGTGCAGGTGTGGGCCAAGGAGGATGATGGGAACTGTAGTGCAGACAGAGGCTAACACATGACAGTGATGATGACAGTAGTGATAGAGACGATGACAATTAGGTGGTGACTGTGACAAAAACTCACATCTTTTTTTTTTTTTTTTTTAAGGTGGAAACTTTTATAGTTAAATTCCACACACACAGAAACATCCAGGAGCATAGAAACTGGTTTTCAACCTCTGCCCTGTGAATAAAACAGCTTCACTACTGAAAGCTACATTGTAGGCTATTTCTCAGAAATGAGGTTAAAACTTCACTGTTAGTGTAAATAAATTAACAAGCTCAGTGGCGTAATGAGTCAACACCGGGCCCTTATGCGGGATTATCAAGGTGCTAATTTGTACATTTTAGGTGTTATTATGTCCATTTTTGGTCCTAACATGTACATTTTAGGTGTTAATACTGTACAGTATGTACATTTTAGGTGTTAATATGTACATTCTAGGTGCTACTATGTACAATTTAAGTGCTAATATGTACCATTATGGTGCAAAAGTGTACCTTTTGAAAAGATACAGCTCCAGTGACAGCTTTTGTACCTTTTTTTCTGAGAGTGACTACAGCACATTATGACACAATGTCCATTTGCAATGTCCATACGCATGTTCACTTACCATATCCCGAGACCCAGTTCGAAAAACAAATTACACCAAAATCCATCATTCTTCATTTCAAACATGTAAAATATGTTGCTGTCATTATTTATTCAAATAAATTCAAGATAAAGTAAAATGGGATCACTCTAATCCCCGGCTGTCAATCAATATCTTCCAGTCACGCTGGCCCCTGATTGGTCCGGACCTGTAAGCAACTGCGTACCCTGCTTACTGATAGTTACGCCTAGGAACGAGCTTCACTATTACATTCAGACACACACAAGTAAAATTCTTGTTAATTCCTTTGAATTCATTTAAATAAATTAAACCTTACACATACAATTACCACTATTTTACGGTCTATATCCATTCAGTCAGACCTTGCGGTGATTAACTTATCCATGCTGGCAAATAATTATGGCCACCCAACATGAATTATCATTTTAGTATGGCCATTCAAACCCTAAGGGGCAACCATGTCACAGATAGTAAAGCGATCACCAATAGAATCATTAGATATCGGATACCAGTAGTGTCGTAATAAGTAAATGTAACTCGTGTGACCATCCCGGAAGATCAGATCAGATCTGTGCACTGAGACTTTGATTGTAAATCCAGCCTAACTCTCAGCTCCAACCAGTGTAGTTTCTTTAATCTCAAAGATGTCTGATCTGGCTCTATTTAGCAAAAAATGTGTAAGGGAGACCGATAGTGTGGGTGTGGGTGAAATGGAGTAACAGACAAGAAGGGAGGGATAGAAAGTAAAAACAAAGATAGGGAGACAGAGGGAGAAATATATAGTGAGACAGACAGGGAGGGAAAGAAACAGGCCTTTTGTTTGTAACGTTAATGAACAGATGACTTGTTTTCTTTTTTAGATTGATTGGCTGTTTACTGTAGGCCGATACTGATAATTAAATTAGTCATTAGCAGTAAATGTAAATATTGCACGTTTGTACTACAATTTTTACTCCGAATTTACTGGTAAATTTCTCAAATAATTACAAAGAAATGGAAAGCAACACCGTGAAATTCTTAAGTAGAAAGACTGCAGTATTTTTGTAAAATGTACTCTAATAATATGTACATATTCAATTTTTCGTACAGTGGTGTTAATTAGTTCTGCATGTCTTGGTTGACTGCTCTGTACAAATTTGACATTGTGTATAATAACAACAATGCAAGGGTAATAAATGGGAAGAAGCAGCAAAAGAAGACAAAATGTTGCCAGTGAGCCATAAGAGTATACCATGAACTGTTAGCAGTGGATGTTTTAACATTACATTTTTTTTCTAACCTAATTTGCACAGGGCTTCGTACATTGATGGACATTATCATCAGAGGGAGGATCGATTATTAGCTGACAAACTGCTAGTTTGCTGATGAGTTTCTTCAACTTGCTTGCAAAATGAAAACAGCTGAAGATGGCAGTAATAATGTATTGTAGGCTACCTACAATAGTTCAATATACTGTAGCTTAAAGGGTTAATTCACTCCAAAATGAAAATTCTGTCAGTACTCTCCCTCATTTTGTCCCAACCCCGTAAGACTTTCGTTCATCTTCAGAACACAAATTAAAATATTTTTGATTAAATCTGAGAGCTGGATCACTCCGCCATAGGCTTCTAAGGGATTGAAAATTGCCGGAGTTTCAGAAAAGTTAAAGACATCGCTAAAAACCTGTGAATAAATGAAAGAAAAAAGAATAAATAAACAAACAAATATGCAAATAAATGTAAAAAAAATATATATATTTCCTTATTTATGTATATTTATTTATGCATTTATTTATTTTCACTTTTATTTATCTATATGAACAGAACCAGACATTTTGACACGAAAGAACAATTTGGACCATGAATATTCAGTAACTTATGAGCGATGATTTATGGTTTGTAAAAATCTATTTTTCTTTACAGTGATGTAAACCCTAATCCTTCATCTAAGATTCAACAAAAAGTCTCAGAGACACAGTCTTGCAAGGGATGCAAGTAAGTATACAAACCTGTTCATTACACATTACAGCACATAACATCTTTTTACATGGCAAACACTAAAAGTAAACGCCTTCAGATGACATCTTTCATGTTTGATCATTTTTATTTTCACATTTTATAATTTCATATTTATTGACTGTTCATGTTTACATGTAACATACTTAAACCAGATCATATAGTTTAAGATGTCTGTATGCGTATTTAATTTCAGAGAGAATGTATTCATTTCCAAAGCACTGGAGAACTACTCTAACAGATGGAAAAAACATGAGGCAAACTTTAAAAGATTCAGGTAAAACAGTAGCCCAGAGCAGACCATGAGCTGTTCTCATAAAGATTAAACTTAGACATCTGTGGCAAGGCTTTGTTATTGGATGAAAGTAAAAGTACTGTTCTTCTGTTGATTATGGATCATATATAACAGAGTTTTAAAATAGACAAATACACGACAAAATGCCCACTTCAAGGCATAGTTCACTTAAACAATAACTATTAACAAAGGATCTATTCCTTTAAGGTTAAATTTGATGTCTTACATCAGACTCAGTGTGTTTTTACTTCCAGGTCATTGCTGAATGGCAAATGCCATGCTGTGTCAAAGGCTGTTGTTACACAAAATAACACCCCACTTGGGTCAAATATTATCTATGATGGAGAGAGGAGAAAGCCAATACAGGTGATACAAGCCCTGTTCAACATCCTGGCTAAGGTAGTGTCTAAGCATTCAAACATTGGGTGAATTATAGTTTCTCTGATGATTTTGCAGTTACATTGTGTGCGGGTCTGTTTGTAGGAGCAGCCCTTTGGAAATTCTACATGGGAGTCATGTGCCGTGGTGGGGAATGGTGGTATTTTGACCAATAGCAGCTGTGGAAAAGAAATTAATTCTGCCCAGTTTGTCATTAGGTCTGTATCAGATCAAATCATGTGACCTATTGCCTATAATAATATAAAAATCATCAGTATCTCATTCCACATTAGCATCAGTCTGTAATGTTAGTGGAACAATAATTAGGGTATCTGTGCTTTTTAAGCTCCTAAGTGTAGCCTTAACACCGTATTTGATGTAGACCAAAACTTTTGTTTCCTATCAGAACAATGGCCTAATTAACCTCTGTCCACCCCTGCATTTTAGATGCAACCTTCCACCACTGGATAACAGATATGAGAAAGATGTAGGCAACAAAACCAACCTGGTGACTGCAAATCCCAGCATCCTCCATGAGAAGTGAGTTTGTGTGTAATAAATGTCCATTGAAGGTTGAAAGTTGGAAACCCACATGCAGCTTTATTCCAAATAAACACAAACCAGTAAACAATGACTTGGATTGACAAGAAACACGAACTAAATATAAACTTACCAGCAGTACGGGGAACAAAACGAGACAAGAGACAATGGAAACATGGGGGCCACATATACTCAATAGGCTTGTTCGACTTGAATAAGCACTGCACAGACCGATCGGTTTATGACATCAAAGAACCGCATGAGGAGTCACTGAGAACCTATGAACAAGTGTATGTGTGTTTTAGCAGATCTCTGATCAGTTTTATACATTTGTAAACGTTTTAATTAGACTTTAGTATAATTAAAATGAATAATGGTAGTTAAGAATCTTATTGGCCTGTTTAGCTGAGCCATTCATAGAACAAACTAAACAAACCCTGACAATTGATAAAATAACATATACACACTTAAAGGTGCTATATGTATTTTTTAGCGGCCTCTATCGGTGATGTTTCATCTCAACAATATCATAGTAGTGGGATGAGTGAAATCAGAGACTATTTATATAGAGACATGCCACTTCCTCAATCCTTAATACAACTATATAGGGAAAACCCCTCCCACTGAAAGCAAATCGTATGCTTTTAACAGGTTTGCGACAGCAGAAAATACGTTACAGTTTGAAAAGTGAAATTTGACATGGGTTTCTGTTGCATTTACACTGTTCTGACCACCGTGGAGTTGGGTGTCAGATTGTTTCGAAGCCTCGACACAACACAGCACATTTGCTTCAACTGTTACAGTGTTCCACAAAGCCTCGATCTATTCGCCCACCCCTACTCTCTATACGCTCTCGTGGTATTTTGATGTCATTCACCGATTGGTCTGTGCAGCGTTGGTTCGAGTCTAACAAGCCTAAGGACTAATGACTAACAAGAAACACCTGTGAACAATCAAGACAATAAACCAATCACAAAACAGAACAGAGAAACACATGACCTGGGGCACGTTCAAGTTGAAAGGTCAAAGTGAACTCGCATAATGGGTTCAAGGAAAGTAATTTACAGATGTGCTCAATGCAGCTCGGTATATGCAACAACCGAGGGTATTAGAAGATATGTTTGTCGTTTATTGTAAAAATATAGGATATCAACATAATGATGTAGTTGTTTATATTTTTAGCTTCATTGCAAATGTATGACATTTGGTATTGAAAACAATGGTAATTAAGTGCTTTTCTTAAAAATAAGAAAGAAAATAAAGGGTATTAAAACAGTGTGAACTACAAATAAAGTCAGTATGTGTGGCTAGAAAGTGTTTAATGTGTGCTTCCATTTCAATTTCCACAAATCCCTTCAATCGATTGGGATGTTCTCTTGTTTTCTGGGCAGCAAGTGCAGTTACTGTAACATCGGGCATATTTATACCAATAAATCATCAGGCTCCGAAAATTCTTCACAAAGAACACAAAGAATGGCCTTCTCAACTCTTGCGTCATCAGAACAGGGGTGTTCAACGCATCACCGTTTCTGTTTAAAAACGTTTTGTCGGGGCTGAACGCAGCTCTGAACAACCACAGAACACATCAGAACATGACACATAAACAGGAGAAGCACATGACAGGATCACATTTGGGGAAAATTTAATCACATGACATGACCAGGAACTAAGACTATGAGAATTACAACATGAAACTGTAAACTTGAAACAAAACAGCACCTATTGCTCGTTTGCCACTCACCATAAAACGCCCAAACACTGTGGTTGTGGGTTTGAATTTAGTGACAAGTAAGATGTCATATTGTTTTGCCAAATAATCAGTTTTCTTGCTTATAAAGTTGAACATTAAATTCCAGCAGTGCCTAATACATTATATCAGTGACAAGGAGGACTGATTATCAATCACTCAGAATGGTTATCCATGCATCATTTTTCTATATGATTTGGAATAAAAGCTGAGCGATATATCAGATACAGTTTGTCACATGTGTATTTTTCTGCTGATGTGGACGGAACATGGTACTAAAAGAGTTACGAATCGAAAACATATAAAGCGATCAATGTAGATGGACAAATGAATTGGTTTTCATTAGTCAATCAAACTTTGAGATCAGTGTTACTGGTGAGAAAAGTACCGCAAAAGTAATGTAATTACACCAATGTAGACAGTACTTTAAAGTAATGTAATTACTTGACTTTCCAAATTACTTTCATTACATACATTTCTTTCCAAAAACGTAATTAACACAATTAGTTACTTTTTTTTAGCGAGTAATGCAATATTGTTACGCATTTCTTTTAAAAGAACCTTTCCCAAAATGGGCATCCTAACTTGCCCACATTGAGCCCATCAAAGTGCCCACTCTGACCTTATGCCCAGATGATGCCCGTATAACTCAGATAAATCCAATGTGTGGGCCCACATAGTTCACTGGTTTAACGTGCGAGCAGGGACGAGTCGGAGAAAGAGAGACTTCAGATGCAAGCACAAGTTTATTAGAGAAACATACAGGAAAATGCAGAATAATCCGAGAACAAGAGTATAATCCACACAGAGAACAACTGGAACACACATGGAGGAGCAACAACCAAAAAACAACAACTGAAGCACAGAGGTTTAAATAGACTGGTTTAAAAGGGGATGACGAAGGACAGGCTTCTGAGATTAGTCATGGTAAATAATGAGGGTAACTATGGTGACAAACATGGCAGGCAAGACAACAAGGGAAGGGAGCAAGGAAACATTAGAAACTGAGAATGCACTTCAACATAAAGTCCTTAGAAAAACACAAGACACAAAACCAGGATCATAACCACTGGGATTAGTTGTTTAGTGTGTGGTTGTGATATAGTTAAGGCCAATTATCAGATTGCATTTATGCTGCCTCCAGAAAGCCTGAGAACGTAATTCAAAAGCACATTTTGCAAGAATAATTCAAAATGTATTTATATTTATTCCTGAAAAGTACTAACAGCATTGCTAATGGGAGTGGAATATTGAAGTGAAGCACACTCAGGCGTTTCTTTATCCTCATCTGTTACAGGTACAATGGTCTAATGGAGCGCCGTCGTCCATTTGTTGAAAGCCTTCATCCTTATGGACAAGCCTTAATGCTGCTGCCAGCGTTCTCTTACGGTCACAACACGGCTGTATCCCTGCGTGCCTTTTACACACTGGAGGACTTCGGCAGCAATGGCCCACTGCCTGTTTTCCTGAATCCAGAATATTTGAGAAATTTGTCAAAGTTTTGGCGTGAGCGAGGCCTTAAATCGGTTCGTCCCAGCACAGGACTAATCATGGCCAGTTTAGCACTAGAAATCTGTGCTAACGTCCATTTGTACGGTTTTTGGCCTTACAGTAAACATCCAGATGACAGTCGACGGATCACCAACCATTACTATGACGATCGGCAGAGCAAGAAGAATGTGCATTCCATGCCGGCCGAGTTCGAACATTTATTGAAGCTCCACAAGCAAGGTGTGGTTCGCATGCACCTGGGGGATTGTCAACCCCCACACAGGTAAAACATGAGACTGGCTGCAAACTAGGCCTTGCCTGTAATGTACAGCATAATTCTTAGTTTGATTAAGAACTACAACAGGCCAGCAGGACCAGTCCCTGGAAAGACACAGATGTGAATGTAATTGTGCACAGAATCTATATTGCTCATAATGCTGTGTGCACACTCGCTCAAAGAAGAAGCCATGACCATGCACAACAAATGAATCTTTTTTAAGTTAATTTGAGATAATCTTGCACACAAAAATAGCTGAAACGAATGTACTGATTAGCCTTGGTATACTGTGAAAGAATTGAATTAGGAAAATAATTCTTAGAGCAGCACCCCTAAACACTCCTTAAGTGGTCTTGCCTTAGTCAGCCTTTAATGTGCTCGCTATCGGTGCTTCTCCAGCTCTGTTGCATTCATCACAAGTGCCAGGCTTTCCTCTTTAGCATTTATTAGCAGTGCATGTGAATTTGATCTCAGGTGTGGAGAAATAGCTGTAATAGCAGCACTGGATTTAACTCCAGACTTTGATTTCAGGACTAAGATCTCAGCTAAGAGATTGCAGAAATGTCTGGTTGTTTCGAAGCAGGATGTCGCGATCACAGTGTGAAACAATAAGAGGTTAGTGTAACTCAGAGGAATAAACTAGAGGTGTAAAAGCTGAAAATAGGGGCAAATTTTCAATGTGCCAATTCTAAATGCCCTATCCGAGTATGACATTGCTCTTACAGCAATCACTGAAATGTAAATAAATGAATAAATAAAAATGACAATTTCAGTTCAAATGCAAATTATTGGGTCAGTTTATGCTTATATATGCTTTTGTTCACTGAAAACTCGTCTTGATGGATTCATGAGATGAGGAAATATCCAATTTATGAACGAATCATACATTTTAGTTAGATTCTAGTTTAAAAAATTGTTTTGTCAGTCAGCCAGTTGATCAAGTTAACAAAACGTACTCGATTACTAACGTAACCTCGGTTCTCTGTAGAAGAGGGAACGAGTGCTGCGTAATATCTTACGCTAGGGGAAAACCACATTGATTTCGCAGACATTGAATCTATCACACAGACATTGATTTTTATTAATAAACTAGCGTTCTCTGCGTCAATTCACGTGTGTCACTCGATTTACAAATGCACATCTTGCTTGTTGCACACACACATATTATGTCGAAATAACGAGATATCATGTTAAAATAACATTAATATTAATAATAATTTTTTAAGAATGTTTAATTGAATGCTGAATGTTGTGCTTGTTCAATTTAATCAAATTAAAACTTAAACTGTGATAATTAAAATAATTGAATATTAAATATTGAGTGGCCAAGATCTGCTCATTTATTAATAGTATTTATATATATATATATATATATATAATTGCGCAGCTCACCCTGTCAATGATCAAGCACCTCCTCAGCACCTGCATTAAAAATTCTCCAGAGTCGCCCCTACATGGTTGGTGGATGAGCACACACACTAAATACAAAGTAAAACAGACCAAGACTGAATGAACTGAGAGAAACTAAATACAGACACTGATAAACATAAATTGAGTGAAGACAGGTGACACAGATGATGAGTAACTACAGGTGCTACAAATGAAAACACGTGACATGAAGGCAGACAACTGTGAGACAACAGTTATTTTAAATTTGCAGTCAATTGGCTGGGGAGTCCCATAGCCCTACAGAGGATAGTGGTTTGTGGAATGGATGGATTGATGTCCAGGGAGTACAATTTTGTTGTTCTAAACATTCCGCAAGCTGTTCCACTCACACTCATGTTGGCCTAGTGAGAGGGTTTTTCTGCATCTGTGTTACACTCTTTTAAGGGAAAGACATTCCCATTGGGAACCTCATTTGACACTACTGTGCCAAATGGTTCACATCACAGGCCAATTTCTTAATGGTTCACAGGCCAATCTGATTCCTTATGGAATCCATTCTGAGAGAAACCTGCTTTGACAAATAAGGAGAAACATGAGTTTGAGCGTCAAAAGTGGCTCGCCCACGCACTCATCATCTGCCAAAGATAGGGATGAATAATAGGCTGACCCCTTCACGAACCATCAAAAATATTCTATTGCCTGGGGTGCCTTTAATGCCAAATGCACATATTCGCTCTCAGACACGCACACAATTCCAATTTATTTCATTTTATTAACAAAATAGCTCTGAACATGCATTTCAAAATCCAAAGAGAGGGTTTTCAAAAATTGGAAATCGCTGAACAATCCAGCTTGGCACATTAAATGCATTTTTTCACCCTCATTTTCAAACACAGTGACAACATTTATAGAATCACACACCAGTCAGGACAAACATAGGTCTTATCAAACACATTACTGGCTTGATGATAACCAGGAAAGGACAATAAATTGAAACGCATGCTTTCACACTCACACATACTCATCTGTAAGAAGAAGGCCGCCATACTCCATTGACACCAACTGAGAAGACTTGCTTTCTAAGCGATGTGTCAAACTCTGAAGTAAAGTAGCTTACTAATTCAGTTTCTCTTTCTTAGACAGCTGACAAAGTACGAGGTTTTTCTTGAGGATTACCTTGGCTAACTCCAACACACACACACATTAAAAAACACAAACGTAAACACACGCAGTGGTGCTCAGATGTGGGACAGAGGGGTCTCTTAGACTCACTCCATCTGGAGCACTCGAATATACAGCTGCAACACGCACCCACACATAAAAGGTCAAAGTAGTTACACTGAAGAATCCTTTTTGTGTAGAGTTTTCCATTGGAAAGAGTGCTGTGGAATTTCCCCTTAAACATTCCTATTTTCCCTCCCATGCAAAATCATATTTGAAGGGATCGATTATGACAAAAGGATTCAAACTGGCTGACTACAAAGTAGGCTACATACATCAATTTTTTTTTGTTTTTGCTACAAGAAAAGGCAACCAAATAAAAAATAAATAAAACTCCTACAAAACGTATTTTGTAATAATCAAATCATATGGGCACTGCTGAGTTCCATGTATTAAAAAAGCTAATAAAAAAAGAAACCTAATTGATGTTTAAAAGTACAAACAAGTCACGTCTTGCTTAGAAACCAGAAATCTAATGCCACAATCTTCAGCATCAATAAATACTGCTGAAATGCTGATATGTAAAGGGATTCTCTTTTATTTCTTTAATTCGTTAATCAAAAATTTCTCACATGCACTCATGCAATCACTCCCCCACCTTCTCATCCTCAGCTACACGCAAGCGCGCGCACACACGCAGGCACACACAATGGTGTTCTATGGCGTGTTTTCCTCAGTCTGCATGACTGCATAGTAGCTTGATGTCTTTATTGTGACAAACAGTATTTGGTCTCCCATGGCAATCATCACAAATTGAAACATCCCACAAAAAGGCAAAAATCTTGCAAGTTGGAATGTGGCAGTAAGAGAGAAAATGGAAGACTCAACTCTGATATCTACATTGCACCAAGTTAGACCTGCTACTTGGATCAGCTATATGAAGTCTCTTAGAGCCAGAGGATGTTCCCACAAATACGTCCAATAGCAACAATACACAGTGAGCTTCTGTCAAGTCAATCTTAATGAAAAAAAAATTTCATATGCAACTAAATACAGGGTTCCTGCACTTTATGACCAATGAATATCCATGATATTTTCCCTTAACATTTCCAGGAAATCACACTTGTAAAATAACTTGTTATTATTTCCAGGTTTTCTAGGACTGTGGGAACCCTGTATATATGGCTGATAAGAGTAGACTGCAACTGCTTTCTTCACCAGTAGGGGATAGTACAAGAACAGAGTAGGATAAGGATCCATGAGCTAAATATCCCAAGTCTTGGTGGCTAGAGAGATCTAGAATTTCAAGAACTAAAAAAGACTTTGCACTGATGCTTCTAACACCCATAGCTCTGAGTGTGACCAAAACTTGCACTGAATGTGTTATTGTAGATTACAGTTTACCAGCATATTTCACAGGACTGTTTTGTTGGGTCTTGAAGACCACAGAGTACCACTACTACATCGGTGCATCATTGCATTGTTATAGCATTTGTAATGAAAAAAAGTTATTGTTTAACACTGGAAATAAGAAGACAGCTGGCTTGGAATCGGATTGCAGTGTCATCACTCTTCCGATAGGAAGACTTTCTCTCATTGGATAGTTCCTAACTTTGAAAACGGATGAGTTTTTTCAGGATTATGAGGGAATGTTCTTAGAGTTAAACATAATCTTGACAACACAAGATTATTTTAGGAAGATCAAGTTCCTTTAAGGCACTGGAAGCATTTAAAAATATATATACACCATATGTTCCAATTGCGAATACGCAGTCTTTGTAATCTGTAGGATACACACAATATTTTGTGTCTAGAATGTAAAAATGGATAAGAGGCCCACTGAGTGTAATGTTCAGGTGTGAGTGCAATTGTCAGATCCAGACAGATGGTTTGCCTTCTCCTGACTTGCTGCTGCTGCTGCTCCCAGCGCTCCCAGATTTCCCGTGCTTGGACCGTTGCTTTCGCTCCTTCTGAGGTACTGTGGTGATGTTACTCTGAGGCTTCTCATCGATGTCATTAGTGCCGTTGAGCTCGTCATGGTTATTGCTAGCGTTGTGCTGCAAGGTATAGGCTTGGATCGCCGCCTCTAACTGTATCACGTCTTTGTTGATGGGTGGCGGCCGTGCCTCACCTGCAGATGGGAAGTTGTCCTCATTGGAGCCATACTGCTGCTGCTCTTCCTGTGCAATGTTGGCACGGTTCTGCTTGCACGCCATCTTGGCATTGCTTAGGTCTGTGTACGGCATCGTCTCGGGCTTCACCACAATGTTGTAGCCTGGTGGCGCAGAAGGGGTGTTCCAGGAAAAGGGATAACCAACATAGTCCGCTTCTCTAGCACCACCCCCAACCCCACCTCCAGGTTCCCCCTCGCTGAGCGAAGGCCCGCCTACTCCGACAGACACGGCACCCGTTGCAAGAAGGCCAAGCTGGTACTCGTCATCAGTGGATGCCGCGTTTCGCTTGCGCAGCACGTCGCCGATGGTTCCAACTCCGAGATGAATCATTTCCCACAGGTTTAGCAGCAGGCAAAGGCAGCTGACGCCGTACATGATTCGTAGGAAGATGGTCTTTTCGGTGGGGCGTGAGATGAAGCAGTCCACATGGTGCGGGCATGGCTTATCCGAGCAGACAAAGATTGGTTCCACACGAAAACCGTACAACAGGTACTGTCCCGCCAGAAAGCCAGCCTCCAGTGCGGAGCGCGTCAGAAGCTGTAACACATACACTTGCATCAGGCCGTCATCTCGGATACGCCGACGCCCGTCGTGACGCACTTTGGGTTTGGGTCGCGGTGGCACCAAATCCCGACGTGTGTTCATCTCAGGCACTTCGTAAATCATTGGGTCGTCTTCACGTTGTTCGTCCCCATCCTCGTGTCCTGGTCGATGCTGCCGTGCCCCGAAGTACATCTTCCTTGGTCTTCGCTGGGTGTATCCGTCCCCTGCAGAGTCACCTGCAGCTGGGTCAGCGGCCCCTGTGCCGCCCCGCAAGTTCTCGCTGTGGGAGATCTTATTGGCAGCGTAGCCCATGTAGAGCAGAGAGGGCATGGCGGACAGGATGATCTGAAAAACCCAGAATCGCACATGCGAGAGTGGTGCGAACGCATCGTAGCAGACGTTCTCACATCCCGGCTGGCCCGAGTTACAGACAAACTTGCTTTGCTCGTCGTAGTATATGGATTCGCCGCCCACTGCAGTCAGCACAATGCGGAAGACAACTAGCGTAGTGAGCCAGAGTTTCCCCACCGACGTGGAGTGGTGCTGGATCTCCTCCAGCAGACGCGTCAGGAAGCTCCAGCTCATGACGTCTGATGACAACGGGGCAGACAGCGTCCCACACTGCACAGCTCACAGACTCTGTGAACAAACACAGAGAGTTTCAAATATAAGTGCATATTAATTAAAAGATTATTACTACAGAAACCAGGCCAAAAGGCAGTTATACGAGCTATGAACACAAAATGATACAACCATTGTCATATTTTATTCATGATTTGATGTTATTGTCTTCTGTCAAATAAATGTTTTTTTAAAGATATTTGTTATATTTAATAGATTATATTTAACAGTGTTATTAAATTATAAGTGTTTTTATAAGTACATTAATTTCTAGTGAACGTTCTCTAAATGAAAAAATTTGCACTATTAAATATCCAATAATTTAATCAAAACTGAAAAATAAAAAACGACAACAGGCAATAACCAATATTGTGCCAATACATAGTTCATCCATATATAGTCCATTGTGGATTCTGATTCTAGATATATTGCTTGATAAAAGGTCAACCTAGTGTTAATAGACTCAATGAACGGAACTCTCTCTTTCACACACACATACGCAGACACAATTACCTTGAGCAGTGAGCCTGAACCACACAAATCTTCCCTGAGGGAAAACAGCTGTGGTGAGCGGGTGAGTGTGTGACCTCTCTGGTTTGTCTCTGCATGTTCTTGTTTTGCTTCTTTTTTTTTAATGAATGTTTGGATTTTTTTGATTGTTATGACCATATAAGGTTGCATCTGAGCAGTCAAACACAAGGGAGACATGTAATAATATAATATCTCATAAAATATCTTATAAATCTGAGTATAACTCCAAGTATATAGTACACAGTATGTGCTTGAGAACGAGAAAGAGACAGAGAGAAAAGAGAATAGACTAATTTATTTCTTTTCACAGGTCACTTTGAAAACAGGACCTGACATGGTTCAACAGAACCAGAGGGTCCAGGGCTTTCCTGTTCCTCCTGCCCAGAAGAGGACCTCAGCGGTGGGCATGCGCTGATGTGTACTAGCCCTTCACCTTTAATCTGCATCTCACTATGCTGGTAGCGGCACTAGGGGTAAGGAACATAAGACTTAGAATGTGGCTCATATAGGCACACAAACAATCAATACACACACACATACTGAAAACACAAAAGATGTACAGAACACGAGACATATCCACTGGTCACTCATAAGCATCTGTCCTTGAATGACTGCTGTTGCTGTAATGCCCCAATCATCTCACCATCACTTGTTTGTTTCTCTTTCTCTATCACACTCTCTGTCTCTCAAGGTTAAAATAGCCCTCCCTCCCAAAGGGAATAAAGGACTTTGTTTTGTATCTGTGACTGTTGAGCACAAACGGGCATAAGTGCTCACACAAAGTCTGTGGCCACAGGGAGTCAACAAACAACATTAAATGATATAAAATGATTTCACATGTCAGTATTAGACATGCTCGTACAAAATATTAGTATTGTGTTATTTATGTCAAGGGACAAGACATCCTCTGTGATTTCATGCCAAGTTAAAAAAAATAATTGAATCTGTTTGCCGCATCTGTTTGTTATGCTAAAAACATTACTTGATGAGAGATACAAATTATTTTATATAAAACAACAAAACAATTCACAACATCAATGAGGCTGTTACACGGAAACGATTCTGAAGAGAAAATGCAAAAGTGGCGTTGGGTCATCACTTTTTATTCTGTGTTTAGACAAGCGTTTTGTGTGGGAAATCCGCGTGCCAATGGTGACGCAAAAGTGTATGAAATTCAAAATTCAATGTAGTATGCACTTCAGGCGGCTGTGAGTGCATACTACAACAACACAAAGTCCACACGCCTGCGTAGGCCTACAACCTTCACTGTCAAGCAGACTTTTGCGTTTTTACCGTTTACAACGCGGCGCTGGGGCGTTTTTAAGATTTCCACTCTGGAGGGTGGTTTCACTTTTTTGCGTTTTTAAGCCTCAAAAACGCTGTTGCCGTGTAAACGAAAGGCACATCCGATCAAATATTTTACGTTCTCGTAGGATATAGGATATCTCATAACCTTTCATCTCCTCCTTTCATATACAAAATTCAAAACATTTAAAAGTTTGGGTCAGTACGAAATTAACTTGCATAACTTAATTTACTTTTATTTATCAATGATGCATTAAACCAAAAGTGACAAAGACTGTTGCATTGTTACAATTTCAAATAAATGCTGTCCTTTTGAACTTTCTATTCATCAAAGAATCCTATAAAAAGTGTCATGGCTTCCCCAAAAATATTTCGCCATTAGCAGAACAACTGTTTTGAACATTGATAATAATAAGAAATGATTCAGCAAATCAGTTTTTTATTACATGTAAAAATATATTACAATAGAAAACAGTCATTTTAATTTGTAATACTGTTTTTACTGTATTTTCGATCAACTAAATGACCAATTTGATGATCAATTGGTGAGCTTTTGAGACTTTAAAAACATCTTAAAATTCTTACTCACCCAAAACCTCTGTATTAGTATACTGTATATATTTTTACAAACTGAGAATAAGCTCATTTAGCACAACCCAACATTTTGTACTGAATACATTTAGGCATTCCTTCAATAATTGTTGATACTATTCACTGATTAAACCTGATTCGGGTCTCCATATCCACACACACACACACACACACATACATCATCATCATCATCACACATACACATACACACACAGTTCAAAATGCCCCTGTGCCCATGTCAAAGCCTTCATCATCCACCCCCCCCCTCCCCATTTACAGGAGTGTGTCCTTTTTTGTCTTATATACCTCTAGAGCTGCATTACCCCTTGAAAAAAATTAAACCAGAAATGTGCTCCTACTACCTAATTAATGTGTTGAATATCAGAAAAAAAAGAATAAAAAAATAAAAAAATAAAAAAAAATAAAAAACTTGTTTTTAATTTGTTGACACACACAGTCCTAATATTATTTAAACTTTACTTTTAATAACATCGTTTTATAGGTTTAGCAAAGCAAAATGAATCCCAAACATTAAACCAGAAATGTGCTCCAATCCCTTTAATATTGTGGATGTCATTTTAACATTTCATTAGTATTTTTACAGGAACATTTTATTCATTCATACATTAATATATAAATGAATAGAGAAAAATGTTTGTTACTATTTACAGCTCTAATAAATCTGTCATTTTTTCTTTTATTAGTTTGTAAAGGCTAAATTAATCCCTTGTGTTTGGGATTCCCTGGTTCACAGCATTGGCACATAATACAACACATGTCATATCTACTGAGAGACACATGGCAAAGGTCCCATCCTGTTCACGGAAATACTCACTCAAGTCAAGTCAGGTCAAACAGCACTGATGTATTTGCCTGTTAAGTCAAACAAGCACACGCTGTGAAAGTTGTACTCACACATACTCGACATTCTGTCTTTCGTGCCTTTCCTTGTCTGCTTTCCCTCTTCTGCATCCTTCTCTTTTGAAGAGTAGTCTTGGAGATCAGACACAACTGACCTTACAGCAACACAAGAGACCTACACACATACGTGTACACGAGCATGTGTCGCAATGAAGAATGCGCGAGGGGGAGACTCTCAAAAGCGCACAATAGCCCTTTACCCCAAAAAACTGGGTCAGAGAGGGTTGTGGTTTGAGGGGGGAGTGTTATGGTTTTGTAAGGGAGGCTGGGTGGGTTAATATCCCTGATAGCAGGGGAACAGACAATGATGAGGGGAGAACAAGAGAAGAAAGCCCAAATCACGGGTGATGTTCAGCCTGTAACAAGAAACCAAGATTGCTGCAACCTCCTTCCTCTACACACACACAAACACAAAGACATGCACACTTGTCACAGATAAGCGAGTAAGCAATATCTCTCCCATAAGCTTATCGCCTACCCCTTCTACTTCCTCTCTAAAGCCTCTCTCTCTCTCTCTCTCTCTCTCTCTCTCTCTCTAGCACTTTCACAGCACACTGCTGGAAGGAAGGGAACTTCTTAATGCTTGCTCTTCTATTCATCTGACCATCTTTGGTCATGGCTTAAATTAGAGCTTCCAGCGATCTCCAGCGCTTGCATTCTTATCCAAACCCTGTTTTCCCCCTCGTTCTTATCTCTCCCACTCTCTCTTTATGCGTTTCTCTCACAGTAAAGAGCGAGGTGAGATTACAATCGTAGGATTTCACAGCTACTTCCACAGACAGTCTGTGGGAAAAATCTCATTAAAATTTGACACATTCCCCAAGTGTGATAAGGAAACAATTATTATATGTTGAGTACATTCATTTGTAGAAAGTGAGGCGTTCCTGCGTTGGAATGTTTAATGAAAACATTTTCTCAGTAATTATGATTTTTTATGGAAGACGATTGTTGTAGGTTTTCGCTCGGGAATCAATGCGAAAGACTTCTCAGTCAACGTGAAATGTTATTAATTCATGACAAAATATGATAATGGCCGCACAATAAAGATTTTATATTTTACTGTGCTTTTAACTATTTGGGGGTGAATTATCCATTTAAATCACCAACAAGAAGCTCCTAAAACATAAAGACTGCAACAAGACTTTAAATTCAGTTGCTAAGATAAAAATTAAAAACAAATATAGAACAGGGTTTTTACACTTTTACACACTTTTCATATATATATATATATACACATACGCAGGTTCTTAGAGCCATCAAAATATTGCTTTCACTACATAAACTTATGAAATCACATTCACCATAAAGCAATAATAAAAACAAACTTAAACACACAAAAATATACTTCATACACCACGTTGTTAACAAACAACCAAAACAAATGTTGTCCCAAAACTACATTTCCCATAATTACCGGCAAAAGATATAAAGAATATTAGGAAATGCCAAGACCTTTTAATAACAGGCCTCTGACGCATTTGTAACATTACTACTGTATTCCATCCCCATTAAGAATTTGTTTACAGGGGCCGAGTGACAAATAAATATAGATAAATCAATTATGATTACCAAAATATTATTATGGTTGCCCAGATCCCCAACCGTAGTCTGTCAATTTATAATGCTACAAATGTATTTCTTTCTTTTTTGTTGTTGTTGTTGCTTGCCAA